TCCTCCACCTTCTGCTTCTTCATCTTTTTCTTTTCGTTCTTCTTCATCTTCTACTTCGTCTTCTCCTCTTCATTCTTCTTCTTCTTTTCATCTTCTTCCCCATTCTTCTTCTTCTTCTACTCCATCCCCTCCCCCTTTTTGTTGTTGTTGTTGTTCTTGTTCTTCTTCTTGTTCTTCTTCTTGTAGCTGAGTTGTGTCTACCATTGAAGATGTTAGCGACCGCACAAAAAATGTTGAGATTTAAAGCAGATAGGTCCTTTAAACCTGACAGATTTCCGCAACACAATCTTTCTAGTTATGCCTGGCCATAATAAATCTGTGAACAGGGATCTACTTTTTGGCGGAGATACCTTCGTCTTTCCCATCGATGGTTGACGTATTCGCAAGATTGCATATAAAAATCCAGTGAAATCCAAACCACAGACATATCTATAAAATATCTATAAAACTCTATTTTAAGCGCATTGCCGTTATAGATCATGTTTTTCAAGATAAGTAAGTCAAGCTCCCTACACTGCAAAGAGTGACAAATATAGTCAAATACTTGTTCTACAACCAGAGAAATGTAAATTGTCACACAACTTATCTTACCTATCTAAAATTTCTATATAAACAATATTTACAGCATGGCACCGATTTTCAAAAGTTCCTTTTGTCATTAGGTTTCGTTGTCTTGAATTTCCGATTCGAGATACAGCAACATCAAGCTGACCACGAGAGAAATATTTGAATAATTTTCTAATGTTTGTATTATTTTCAATAATTCGGTAAAACATTTTCCCCACTGCGCTCGATTCATTTATAATAATTTTAAATGGTAGACGACAACGATGGTTATTACGAACGCTGCAGAAAATAAAATTATAGAAATCTTTAAAACCTTTTTGTTTGTTTTTAAATCATTTATGTTCGCTTCTAAAAAACATATTTTTAGAAATGAATTATATTTATTTTATATTTTCTTTAAATGTAAATGGATATTTTTCTCATTTGCGTGTACATCTTGACTACGCAAATTATTTCCTTAGAAACAATAAACTTTTTAAAAAAATAAACTTAAAAAATAAACTTTAGAAACAATAAACTTTAAAAAAGTAGACCTTAAAATTAAAAAAATTAAAAAAAATGTAAGAAAATAAACTTTAAGAAAATAAACTTTAGAAACAATAAACATTAAAAATAAACTTTAAAAATAAAAAAAAAAAAATAAAATAAAATAAAAAAGTAAACTTAAAAAATAAACTTTAGAAACAATAAACATTAAAAATAAACTTTAAAAAAAAAAAATAAGAAAAATAAAAAAGTAAAAAAATAAACTTAAAAATAAACTTTAGAAACAATTAACTTTAAAAATTAAAAAATAAGAAAATAAAAATAAAAAAAAAAAATAGACTTAAAAATAAACTTTAAAAACAATTAAATTTAAAAAATAAACTTTAAAAAATAAAAAAAATAAGAAAAATAAAAATAAAAAAGTAAAGAAAAATAAACTTACAAATAAACTTTAGAAACAACTTTAAAAAATAAATTTAAAAAAATAAACTTTTGAAACAATAAACATTAAAAAAATAAACTTTAAAAAATAAAAAATAAAAATAAAAAGTAAAAAAATAAATTTTTAAAAATAAACTTAAAAAAAACAACTTAAAAATAAACTTTAGAAACAATAAACTTTAAAAAATAAACTTTAAAAAATAAAAATAAAAAAGTAAAAAACAAACTTTAAAAAAATAAAAAATAAACTTACAAAATAAACTTTAGAAACAATAAACTTTAAAAAAATATCTTTATTGACAGAAACCTTGCGTATATATGGAAATACTGATTACATGTGATACTCATTAGGCTTTTCATTAATTCTCATATCAATCTCTTTCACTAACGTATAAAACTATCCTAGCTATCTTTTTATTTGTTTGCTGGAGTATGAGGTCCCACTGCTTGGAGATGCGAATTGAAAAACTCTGGGGACTAATTGAATAAAGTGGTCCGCTCGTCAACGTATTGGTTGAATATTATGTGTAGCTTAGCATTTTTGAGATCTTCCTGTACGCACGAAATTTGTCGGAATCGAAAATGATTCATTTTTATCATCTTAGAAGTGGGGTTCTGTTCGTAATATAGATATAGTGACAAATCGATTAACATGGCTGATGCTAACCTCCAGGAAATTGAATCATTACGTCACTTCGTTAACCTTTTAACGCTAAACATGTAGCGAAAACATTATATTATATTCTATTTCTAGGTCTCCTATGAGGAAAGGTTCGTTCCCAGTTTCATGGTAGACAATTAGAATCTATCTTTCATATTTATAGGTCTACCATTCGTCCAGGCTTTGAATTTTTCCGCCATATATGATCTGGTGCGCCATGCTATACATTTAGAGATGTTTGATAAAATCCAAAGAACAATCTGCAATGTTATTAGTCCTGACTCGGCATCTCGGCTTTAGTCACATTTCCACTGTCGTGGTAATTGGTCAGATAATCGTTCTTCTGCCTATTTCTCTCCGGTCAACTTTGATCTTTAAAAATTTAAGCGCAATGTCAATCGTTATTTTCTGTCTTTTTAATTCCCGTTCTTTTATTGTTCTCGTTCCTTAATATTCCTTATTCTCATATTCTATCACAGTCGGTAATACCATGCGTCAGTAAATTTATTGCTTTACTTAAAAAATAAAATAAAATCAAGTGTGAAACTACATTTACGTCAGTTACAGATTATAACTTCAAAATTGTCCAAATCGTGTAGCAGCAAAATTATCCACCCCAGAAAATGTTTAATATCTAAAAAAACACTAAACTAATTGAGTTTCTTTTTCCAGGTTTTCAGATAAGATGTTTAGCCATTTTGACATCATTTTTGTTGTAAAGATCAATGAAAAAATTTGGAAAATTCCAGTAGGATATCTTTAATCGTTTCTAAGATACAATGGTTCAGAGCTTCATCTAATAATTGGAGAATGTTACTGTTACATGATTTGGACAATTAACTCTGAATACCCTTTTGTCGTAGGGTTTGATTAGAATTCCTTTCTTCACCACTGTTGTAGCCACTGGCAATTTTTTTTTTATATGTGATATAACGTGAAGTCCGTTTTTTAGAATCCTATGGTTAAAGAAACAACAAAACAAGTGTTGCAGATATATAATATATTAAACAGTGAGTACAACAGAAGAGTATTACACAAACAGTGAGTGTGTGTCGGTTGACCCAGCGTTCAATCTATTCGACTGTTATATTTACCAGCCTTCCCACGAGTAGGATGTGGCACAAGGCCGAGTTTAATGTGGGGCAATCCGAACCCGTAGGCTCGGCCAAAATTTGCCCATAGACACCGTCTAAAACGGGGTCGGTTAGCTCTATCCCGAGATGAGACTCTGCTCTCCGACATAGCCTCGTCTGGGGATCCTCTCTGCTCGGAAGCAGAGTGTTTGACCAGTACAGCCGGAACCGATCTATTTGACTGTTAATATTTAACACCCTCCACGATGATATATGTGGCACAAAGCCGAGTTTAACGTGGGTCATCCGTGCCCATAGGCTCGACCAAAAACTCCCCGTAGAACCCGCATAAACGGGTTCGGGTCTGTCTACCTCCCCGCACGAGACTCTGCCCTTCGGTAAAGCCTCGGGTTCCTCTCTGCCTTTGGGCAGAGAATTCGACTGCAGATGCGAAAAGTCACAGCCTCGGTAGAACAATCTATTAGACTGTTATATTTAAAAGCCCCACCCCCACGAAGGATGTATGTGGCACAAGGCCGAGTTTACCGTGGGTTCTCCGAGCCCGTAGGCTCGGCCAAAAAAATTCCCTTAGAATTCGAATAAACGCGTTCAGAGACTGTCTACCTCCCCAGACAAAACTTTGCCCTTCGGCAAAACTTTGTCTGAGTTCCTCTCTGCTCAAGGCAGAGAGTTCGACAGTAATGAACAATCTATTCAACTGTTCCCTCAAGTCCTACTCTCTTACTAATCTTATAGTAGGTGGAAGAGTCCAACATAGAATCTTAAGAGGAAGGACACCACAACAATATCTTTAGTCGTTTCTAAATGGTTCAGTGCTTCATCTAATAATTGGAGAAATTTACTGTAACATGATTTGGACAAATTTGCTGTTACACGCTGTAGTAATCATGTTGTCTTTTTTCAGTTCTTAATAGCGCGCAGTTATCATATATTTAAATATTTTGCCTGGGCTCAGCCTGATGAATTTCCAATTTCAAATGATCAATGTTAAAAAGAAATGTAGGAAAAAGAAAAAAAAGAAAAAAGGCAACAAATGATATTTACAAATTTTTTTTCAAAATTTAAATAAATCAGAGGATTAAAATTTATACTATTTTAATTTTAAAAAAAAATCTGATTTTTATATTTTATATTTTATTTTAATTTTTTAAGGCTGTGATTTTTTTCTTTTTAATCATAAACTAGTTTTGTAATGTCGGGATCTAAACCAAAGAACGCCAGTGTTCATTGTGTTAATTTCAATAATTTAATTCATAATATTAGCATTTCTTCATCCAATATTTACATACTCCACTCGGCTCGGATGGCTGGAAAAGCAAATACAAACAATCAACACTAAAGAAAAGGAAAAAGCCCCCCATTATTATAAACCCCAAAAACAAATATGATTTCGTCAAAAAGTTCCAGATGAATTCATTGGAAAGAATCAATACCCATTCTATGTTCATATCATTCGATCAGCAGGTCAAGCGTCAATATCAATAGAATATTGGCGCCACTGACAAATAAAGGTCAACAAGTTAATTTTAAAATAACCCCTTAAAATGGAAGTAGTTGTGTGGGTGGATTCATCAAGTTCTTTGAAAGGTCACTGGTTCAACGCAGATAAACATGGATGCAAAATGTTGAATTAAATCATTTTATATTCCAGACATTTTCGGGAAGTGTATTTTTTTTATCCAATAATTTAATACTCGTCAAAGAATTGCATAACTACAACTTTTGTAGCATGATCCTCACCCCAAGTGCTTCCATATCTCGCTGAAACACCGGATCTCGTTGGATCACCAAAGTTTAGCAACGTCATGCTTGGCCAGTACTTGGATGGGTGACCACTTGGATATACTTCTTTTTATGTGCCATGTCCATTCAGGACGTAGGCGATCATAGCTCTCCATCTTTCCTCTATCCCTTGCAGCTCTGAATAAATTCCTTCCTTCTGCCATCTCCTCCAGACCACGTTGTCATCCACTTGCTTGTCTCTCTTTCCCTCTATTCGACCCATGAGTATCAGATTATCCACGCCCTCTTTCCTCATTATGTGTCCCAGAAACTTCAGCTGCCTCTTCCTGATGTTAAGTATAAGCCTTACCCTTGTAAGCCTGTAAGCTGTAAGTTTGAATGGGAGCGGGTATGCGCGGGTGTGCGCGGGTGTCATGGATAATAGCTTAGAATTGGAAATCGAGGAGCTCAGTTTCAATTCCGGTCGGGTTTGTTACTTACGGGTAAATAACAAAGGGAGAGTTATGAATCTCCTTTTTGCTCGCCCCCAGCTATGAGTTAAACAGAAAGACTTCTCTAAGTAAATCATTAATCTCCCAAAAAATCTTATTGTCTGAAAAAATATTTTCTGGCTTTAAATAACCCTTAAAAGTTTGATAAACCGTAAAAACAAATCAGTCAATAATAATAGCCTCAGTTATTTGGCAATATATGTCTTGATGATTTAATAGAGGCAGTTTCGCTGAATTCATTATATAATCCTTCTTGGGTTGGTTAATGTCGATTTTCATAATTAAACTTTAGTTGTGTCATCTAATCCATATATATTTTGCTTATACATGAGTCTGCAAATATATATCTAGATATTGTTCTTTTGAGCAGTGATAGTCTTGCCCCTTTAGGATGATGCGCTTGTCGTATCCTAGGCCTCACTGACATGGAAAATTATTTTTGAATAACGCAGCAGAATTAAACCAAAATAGGACAAGAATAGTGCGGGTTCGTTAAAGACACTGGAACAAGGAATGCAATATTTATAGTCAGAATGACCAGTAGAAATGCAAAAGAATGCATACCTATGTTTTACTGATTATGCAAAAGCTATTGATAAAGTATATTACAAAGAACTGCTGTAATGGCTAGGTAAACATGACATATATATTTTTTAAGCATTTCACCCCAAGCAATGCGGGAGTACCACTAGCACACAAGGGTTGCAGATTGTGAAAGTAAAGTAAAGAGGGGTGTTTGATGAAAAAGATAAGGAGAAGAACCGGGATCAAGACCAATGTATCAGAAAATGTCGATTGAAAATATTTATAGAAAAGATTGAGCGAAAGTCACATCACATCTGTGAGAAAATGACTGAAGTCGAGATACCAAGTAAGGATCGATTACATTGCAGATTTTGTCAAGAACCTTGAGATAAACAGTAGGGACAGCAGAACAGATATGGGAAGAGTATTCAATGCACGGACGAATTATTTGTAGGTGTATAAGATGGACTCTGATCAGAAAAAAAACCGTTTGGCATTACACAATGAACTATCTTTCCTTGCAGTAGATGCAGCTATAGATTCACTGTAGTTGTTTCACATCAAGTCGGTCGAAAACGTGAGCCCAAGAAGGCACAGGGATCCGCTTTCCTGGAATCGAGCTTCAGCCATGCTGATGGCGGACAGGGAAGTTTCTGTGGTTGGTAAACGGAGCTCTTTATTTTTGGAGACTTTACCATTTACAAGCCGTTTCTGGCACCACTTAACCATTAATTAGAGGTCCTTTCGAAAGCAGTTACTCCTGCCGGATTTACTATAGAGACATGGATAAATGGTAGGATTATCTAAATAGATGCCTACTTGGGAACTGGTGACACCAGGCAGATCATTGATGAAGATCAGAAACAGTGTGAAAGGATTTGGAAGCAATCCCCCGTTCAGAACGAACTTCATTTCACGATTAGATAAGAATGATTTGATTATCTCAAATGTCCTGTAATACCATAGTCCCGAAGCTTACGTAGAAGACCAGCATGCCAAACCCCGTCAAACGCTTTTGAGATATCTAGAGCAATAACACGAGCTTCGACGTTATTACCGTAGCTTGATATACATATTTAGTAATAACTGTAAGCACATCAGCAGTTGAAACGGAAACCTTACTGTTTATCAGAGCGTAAGATGCTTAACCACTTAAGCCGCGAATACTTTGCCGATATAGACCATCGTCTCTGTACAAACCAATGTCAATTGGTTTATACAGAGACGATGGTCTTATGGTTATTAGAAACTCAACTAACTTCAAAATAGATAAAATTAGAAAGGTATTATATAAAGAATTTAAAAAGCAAGAACATAAAAATTACGGTTAGCACTAAATTAAAAATGTTAACTTCCTTGATATAACATCAGATTTAAAGAAAAATACATACACACCTTATAAAATACCCAATATCAATACTTTATATATACAGCCTAAATCAAATCACCCCCATCTATAATTAAGCATATATCGTTATCTATCCGAAAAAGAATAAGTACAAATTCAGCAAATAACAAGATTTTCCATGAGCATATCAATTCCTATAATAAAGCTCTAAAAGATAGTGGCTACAAAACCCCAAGACTAACTTATATTAAAAATGAAATTGGAAAGCATAGAAAAAACAGAAGTAGAAAAATAATTTGATATACGCCCCCATACAACCAAATGGTAAAGAACAAATTAGGACAAAAATTCCTCGCATTAATAGTCAAGCATTTTCCTAGTGAAAGTAAACTAAGTACTATTTTCAATAAAAACGCACTAAAAGTGAGTTACAGCTGTATGGAAAACTTAGAAAAAATTATTAAGAAACATAATGCTAATATCTTAAATAAACACTTATACCAAAACCAAAAAATTAGACAATGCAAAAATAAAAATAAAAACTGATGAGGATAAACAAAAATTATGTAATTGTAGAAACTATCATAATTGCCCTCTACAAAATAAATGTTGCACAGAATCATTAGTATACCAATGCAATATCTATTCGATTGAAAATCCTGTAAACATAAAAATATATATAGGTTGCACTAGCCATGAGTACAAAAAAGATTCAGCCAACAGCAAAGTTCATTTAGGATAAATAAATATAAAAATCAGACATCTCTCTCGAAGTACTTCTGGCACCTAAAAGAATCAAATAAAACACCTGCCGTAAAATGGAAATTAATAAGAAAAGCTAGAATATGTAGGTCATTAAATGACCCATGTCCTGTGTGCATACATGAGAAACTATATATTACTAAGTTTATAAAAAATAAAAATTTACTGAATCAGAGAAACGAAATAGCTATTTTATGCCGACATTGTCAAAAATTTTCCTTAAATAATATTTCAAAATAAAAATAAATTTAAAAAGTGCGACATTCTTATATTTACTGTGAAAAGATAATTTTATATACTGTTAGTAATTCTATTACATTTACTTGTTTTAAAAAGAAATATACTCTATTAAAATTAACAGTGAAAATATTTTAAAGATGTATTTAAAATTGTAGTTAAATAAAACGAATTCTAACCTGAACAACTTTTAAAATTGTAGTTAAATAAAACGTATTCTAACCTAAACACCTCTCTCAAGCACTTAAAAGAATCCAATAAAACACATACAGTAAAATGAAATTAATATGAAAATAGATGTAAGCCATTGAATGACCCATGTCTTTTGTACTTACATGAGAAACTATATATTACTAGGTTTATAAAAAATAGAAGTTTACTAAATCAGAGAAATTATTTAGCTATTTTTGCTGTCATTGTCATAAATGTTACTTAAATAAAATGTAAATATAAATTTTTAATAAATTGTGACCTAGTAATATACATACTTATAATTGATGTGAAAATAATTTTAGATACTGTAAGTGATTCTAATACATTTACTTGTTTTAAAAAGAAATATAGTATATTAAAAATTAAAAGTGAAAATATTTTTTAAATCGTAGTTAAATAAAACGTATTCTAACCTAAACACCCCCCAAAATCTTAAAGTACACAAAGAGAAAAAAATGCCGTAAGAATTTTTGCCGTTAACAATAAAATCTTAAAAAAATCCAGACGACATGCATTTAACGGATGTCAGAATTCATTGAAAAATACATCCCTACCCCTACCAAAACGTAACTAATAACTGGTACAACAAAATACAGCGATAATGAACACGCAAACACCCCCTGTCTGGATTAATGGATTTCTCTGTATCCTTGGAAACGTGAATTATCATTTTTTTGCTGTGCTTTTTAAAACCAGTGCTTTTTAAATAAGTTAATCCAAAATTCGCTTGAGGATGAAATGTAAATAATGTCTTTAATTTAATTACAAAATTAAATTCGAAGCTTTTAGCTTCCATTTTTGAAACATGATTAGGACTGTGTAGCGAAAAAAAATCATATTTTAAATCAATTAACTTATAATATTAATGCTCTGCAAATTTGCATTGAGCACTATTTTGTAAAAATAAAAATATTTATAAGAACACCGGATTACATATCTTACTGTTCTTTCTTTCTTTCTTTATATATATATATATATATATATATATATATATATATATATATATATATGTGTGTGTGTGTGTGTATATATATATATATATATATATATATATATATATAATAAGTGAGAGAGAGAGAGACTGGAATTGAGAAGAGAAGAGGGAGAGTAAGTAGGGAGAGTAAGTAGGATTCTTTGGTTGTTGTTGCTTATTTCCTAATGGCACCAGTGGAAGATTTCCGATCTCAGATAAATATAAGCTTTTCGGATGCCCATTTTATAAATAGGCAAGGTATCGCTTCAGAACTGACGCAACATAATCTCGCTTTGTCATTTCTAACCCCATTTGACCGTTTATCTCACTAAACTTTCCTTTGTTAGGAGAGCGAAATTCAATATCATATCAAACTTTTGTGTACGTGACGATACCATTCCCATCTCTTGCAAAAGTCACATTCGTACAGAGACTATGAGATTTTCCTTAGGATGATACAAAGGCACTGATTGAGTTAAAAATATTTTTTTTTAAGAAAAGATAAAAACAGGTAAAAGTAAAAATAAAAATGCAAAAAAATCTCTATTTTCCTTCCTACATGAGACAAACTATCAGCCTTCATCTTTGTTTCTTCGTGATCGGAGCCTGCGGAGCGGTGCAGGTTATGGTAAAGAAGAAAAGTGGTTACATATGTATTCCAAAACCACAAAACGCGAAAAAGTCATTGTTCTCGAAGCCGATCACTTCACGCTAGAGGAAGAGAAGGGGGGGGGGGAATCGATAAGTAAAAGAACGAAGCAAGAAGAGCTGAGAAATCCTTCATAAATGGGTGAAAATGTGCACATCACATTTCGGTCACGTGACGTTGACGAAGGAAAAAGGGTTATAAAAAAAAATGTAAGCCTCGGTAAGTTTCTATTAACGAATGCATTTTATGACACAAAATCTTTTTTTTTCTTAGAGCTGGGTATGTATAGAGGAAATGAGTAGATGAAGAATAAGAAAAATATACATCAGCAGACGGTGATGCATAAATTGATATGGCGACAATGGGATAGATAGATAGATAGATAGATAGATAGATAGATAGATAGATAGATAGATAGATAGATAGATATGACATAGAGATGAAAAGACTGAGATAGATAGAGATAGATAGAAATAGATTAGATAGATAGATAGATAGATAGATATGACATAAAAGATGAAAAGATAGATAGATAGATAGATACAGATAGATAGATAGATATGAAATAGAGATGAAATATGATTGAGATAAAAGATGAGATAGATAGATAGATAGATAGATAGATATGACATAGATAAAAGATAGATAGATAGATAGATATGACATAGAGATGAAAAGACTGAGATAGACAGATAGATAGATATGACATAGAGATGAAAAGATTGAGATAGATAGATAGATAGATAGATAGATGGAATGATAGATAGATAGATAGATAGATAGATAGATAGACATAGATAACGAGATGAAAAGAAGAAAGATAGATAGGAATAGGGATATGATAGATAGATAATAGATGGAACAGAGCGATAGATATAAACAGGCAGAGATAAAGAAGGAAGGGATGAATAAAGGAACAGAGCGATAGATATAAACAGAGAGATATGAATATAGATAGATAGATAGATAGATAGATAGATGCATACATACATACATACATAGATCATTGATGAGAAAAAGAAAAGAATTATATGAATATACTAAAACAAATATAAAGATGAAAAGACTCTAGGCAATAACTGGCGAGATAATAAATAAAGATAGTAATAATCACGTGAAGGACAGCTAAAAAAAGTGAAGGGATAAATCTAACAGGAATAACGAAACAAAAATATGAATGAATGAAAGAATATGGCGAAACACTCGTAAAGAAAGAAAAAAAGAAAGAAAGAAAGAAAAAAAGAAAGAAAGAAAGAAAGAAAAAAGAAAGAAAAAAGAAAGAAAGAAAGAAAGAAAGAAAGAAAGAAAGAAAGAAAGAAAGAAAGAAAGGAAAGAAAGAAAGAAAGAAAGAAAGAAGGGAAAGGCAACTGAAAAAGAAAGAAAGAAAGAAAGAAAGAAGGGAAAGAAAGAAAAAAAGAAAGAAAGAAAGAAAGAAAGAAGGGAAAGGCAACTGAAAAACCTAAAAGAAAGAAATAGAAAAAGAAATGACAACCAAAAAATTGAAAAGAAAAGCCTAAAAGAAAGACCGAAAGTAAAAACGTGGATAAATATGGAGAAACATAAAAAAGAAAGAAAAAAAAAAACAGAAAGAAAAAAGAAAGAAGAAAGTCTTCTTTATACTGGTATAGAGAAAAGGAATGAAAACTGATAACAAAAGAAAGAAAAAAAGAAAGAAAGGTAGAATGAAAGATAAGAAATACACTGGTATATAAAGAAAGAAAAAAAAATGAATTGTTATAAAAGTAAAAAAAATCAGAAAAAGAAAGAATAAAACGGAATATTTTTTCATTTCTTCTGTTTTTCTCTTCCTTCCTTCCTCATGTTCGCTGAAATTCTGTTATAGAGTAATTTCTGTTGTCATTACATCAAGCGTTATTCGGACAGGTATATCCATCATTGTTTTTATCAAGACATGTTATCAATAGATTTGTTTTGGCCTTCCCTTCCTTGGAGAACATGAAAGAGAAGTCAAACCAACCCTACAACCTCCAACAAAATCAAACACACCAGATATTGTCTGGTGAATGAAGAAGTCGATAAGGTTCTCTAAGTCGCGATTAAATTAATAGACAATGGACTACACTGAAAACTTTTTACCCCTACCCATAACAGATGACTTTGTCATTAACACACACACACACATATATATATATATATATATATATATATATATATTGTCAAACCTTGTGAGCCAGACAAACCTACCCAGGTTTCACCTAAGCGGATCGTATATATATATATATATATATATATATATATATATATATATATATATATATATATATAAACAGGCTGTATTTTGATTCCGGTACTCAATGGAAATCAGTTCCTCCAAAATTGTTATTTATTGAGAATAAAATCTACTTTTTTCAGCCTACATGGACTGACGTTAGACCGTCCTGGGTATGACGATAAACTACATTCCCGTTCGGAGTAAAACAATAAACTACGGCCAACAGCAAGGCCTCTGACCAGGAGGCTTTGGGGAGCGTGGAACCTCCTCTTAATTGCTGGTGTTCCCAGGTCCATCAAGACCCTGGGTGGTAGCACCTGTTAGGGTCCCAGCTATGGACAAATAGTTGACCCTAAAACTGGAGTTAAAACACTATGAAAGTGTAAAAATAGGTTTTAATATTAGCAATACTTTTTGTAGAAAATTATTAGTAGCAATGAATTTTTGAAGCAAAAATTATTACCAGCAATATATTATTACCAGCAATACCTTTTTGAAAAAGAATATAACTAGCAATAAAAATCTTGTCGACATTAAATAACCCATTGAGGTGTTGATATGCCATAAAACAAACCAAAAGAAACCAAACCTGAAATCACAAAGAACTTTATTAAAAAAAATTGAAACCACATCGCTTCAGGACTTCTAACTGCTGCAACAACTAAACTGGATAACACCTGTAACTCGATAAGAAAATGACATAATCAAGATGTAGACATTCCACACTACTTAAAAAAATAATAAAATAAAAATAAAAATAAATAAATTTGTGGGGAAGAAGCTCTAAATTATTTTGGAAAGAGCGATAATAGTGGATTAAAGAAACACTGAGTTTTCTCTGAAAATTGTTTTAAGAGAAACGTTTTTTGTTATATAAATATGCCACCTGATAGCAGAACTGGCTGCTTGGTCGATGAATGCTGAAAATTTACTTATAAGGAGACAGTTAATATTACCATTTCTGAGGGAGAGTTCGAAACAGGTATTTTAATTATTTGGATAAAATAATAAAAAAAAAAATTAAAAAAAGACATTAAAATGAAAATGTAACGATTTGAATTCCATACAGAGTCAGAAGCGATCATTAGATTGAAGAGGGAATTGTCAGTTACCCACCATTTTTCAATTTTGAAGATTCATGGTCCCATTCGTTCACATCATAATTTCATCAGGGTGCTTCTCGTTTTTATTTATTTATTGAGTGATTTTTCTCCAATCAATAAACACAAACAAAATCGTGATTTAGTTAACCTGTGGAACTTTTACAGAGAGCCATTCTTTTTTTCTGAGTTCATTTTAGTTCATTACCAACTGAAAATAATTTTTCATTCAGTGAAATTGAGGAATGAAGCTACTATCAATACTGGAAAGAGTGATAACAAATATTTGAATAAAGAAACATTTTCTGAAACATTATTTTGACAGAAGAGAGATAAAAGTTTATTCGACTTGTGAAACCTATTTTCCAGAGAAAGTATTTTAGGTAGAAGAGAGATAACAGTTTCTAGACTTGAGAAATCTTTTTTCTTGCAAAACATATTTGGATAGATTCGATAAATTTTAATCGAATGCAGCCATTGTCGTTCGGTCAAAAATAAATAACAAATGTTTCCTTATAAGGTAATGTTGAATATCACCATTACACTGTAAGATGAGTAGAACAGATTCTACACTTTGATCCCAGACAGAAAGCAAAGAAAATCTTAACTGAAATAGCATTGGCTTCTTGGTATGTTAATGCCGAATGCTTTCTCATAAGAAAAGGTCTACCAATACTAATGACTACAGATTAACGTATCTTTATGAAGATGAACGAAAACAAACTTCGTTATGTTAAAAGTAAGAAGGCTAAAAATTCTAGTTAAAAAATAATACATGCTTTTATCGAGAAAAATCTTTTTCCAAGGTTAATATAAGTTTCCCCATTGGTGTATAGGACTAGTGCTTGCTGCTGAGGTTTTTGTAGCAAGTAGTTTTTTTTCTGAGATAGAGTTGCTCTCCTGACGACCAACCTGTTTCGAATTCTAAGTTGGTCTTCTCCGAGACTGGTTGCCAACCAACGCTAGAGAGTCTTGCCTATACTACCCTTAACGTGTAAAAGGAATGATTCATGACGTGTCAAGGTTGTTTGACGTCGACGGCATCTGCTGTAATTTTACATCGACAAGCCAAGCCCACTCTTTGCGCCAAAACCCCTACACTACACGCACATCCATTCGCTTAAGGAAACGTAATAATTAAAAAAAAAACACCCTTTTGAAAACTTTCGGTGTTAATTTTATTGAACAAAATATCGTTAGCGGAAAGAATTCATATTAGAGAACTCCCTTCCAGATCCCACCCAATACACATCATCAACTTTCGTGGTTCGCTTCACATTTCTGTAAATTATCCATTTTTTCCTCGTCTTTCGGAATGTATAACGTTGTACAAAACAGAAAATAATTAGGAGTAAAAATTAATAAGAATCTGTGCTAATAGAAGTGTTTTGGGGATTACATACATCTTCTGAAATGCACTCAGTGAAGCTTGAATGGATTCAGCGGAGCATGAATGAGCCCAGTGAAGCTTGAATGTACTCAGTGAAGCCTCACTTTTGTTACATCTGCTGCTACTGCTGTAGAATTGCTTTTATTTATATTTCTATCTTAATTAGCGGCTCCCATGTCGTATTCATTTCCATGCTAAGTCTACTAAGGGAGTCCTTCTTTTTTTTCTTTTTCTAAGACGACTGGATGGAACATATACAAATCTACTTAAAAAATCCAGAACATCAGTTCGAGATCCCAATTAACGCTTAACATAGTTTAAGGAGAATTGATACCAATCTCAAGCTCAGACAAAAAATATTAGTTTGCCGGTCACTGCCACCGAGCGGACAGGGAAGTCGTTTCATACTTACTCCTATGGCATCCTTCTGGAAGTGTCTTCTCCCGAAAATTGGCTTTCTCAGACACCATATCTCTGGACGTAGGATTGAACATCTGGGAACAGTAAAACAGGACCAAACAGTGTGGAAAGGAATTGTCAGCGGAGTTTCGACCAACAATAGTGAAGATGATGATGAAGGGATCCTTATAGCCTAGCATATTCTTTCAGACGTCTAATTCTCCAGTGTTATTCCTTTTCCAGTATTTTCAATTCGTTCCATAGGTGGGGTGATCACTACACTTTTCTTTTTGTACATGATTAGCCATGCCTGATTTCATTGTCTCTCGTCTAACAACGGATTTTCGATGTTTTTCCAGCCTTAGCTTTAGTGAGGGTTGTTTCATCTGTATATTCTCATTCTGTATATTTCTTTGCTAAGTGCAAGGAATAGAGCATACACAGTTTTTTTTGGTAATGTTCTCCTTTAGACTTGACTCGACAAAGATTTCTCCTTAATCTGGAGATGCTTCTGGACATTATTCTGATTTTGTATCGACCACAGACGTTCTGAATCTTTTCCGATTAACCTTAAAGCAGATAGATCGCGCCTCCTTCCGACCCTCCTCTTTGTCCCTTCTGTTTTCACCTGGAGACACTGTTATGTTTTCAGGGTAGTTGTTATTCAGAATGGTACGCTCGATGCTGATCATTTCCAATTGGTACCCGTCTGGGTCGTCATTATGATTTTTGCAGTGTGTTGTAGGCATCGAACGATCTTTTCCTTTACACTATATGGCTGATGTTAATTGAAGTTGAGCTATTGTCCGCTGATGGTTCGCTTGTGATATACTGATGTCTTGAACGGGGTCTATATGTAAGTTATTAGTACATTTAAGAAGGCTAACAGATTATTATTTTTTCCTCCATTGTGAATTTGATCGAAGGGCACTGTCTGAATTTCTGGGATAAATATTATTTACACTATTTATATTCGGACTAGTGTCCTCCTCTTGTTGTTATCACAACGTTTCAGCCGCTGGGCCTTCCGGCCATCCTCAGATGCATATCGATCTGGGTACCCTGTATGGAGGGCATAACTGCGCGTTTCATTTAATATACGTTGGTTGACAGTTCACGTTCCACTGCGCATGTCTTCTCCATATTTGTAGTGCTGCTCAGTTATTGCTCGCCCGTCTCCACAAAACTCAAGTACGGGACAATAGCTTACTGGACTAAAGCGCTGGGGACATAGTGATTGTAAGTTCAATCCCTGGGACACATAAAGAGGAAAGAAGACTCGGAGAATTTGAGGCTCACAAGACATACTAAAAACGAGAAAAAAAGCGAGGAAAGATCAGGAGTGACTGTGAGGGAACAAATATGGCTTTGCGCTACAAGAGACAGAAATCTGGGGAGAGACATGATTACCCACACCCTGAGGCAATACGACACATAGAAGAAGGAGAAGCAAAAAGAATTATTTTGTCAATTAACTTAAAACGAAGTATAATGTCGTCTACAAACAATTATAACTAATTCGGTAAATTTCTAGCGAATTGACAACTTTATTCAAACCTGATCAAAAGAAAAAGAAAAAAAAAGTTTTCATAGATTCACTTATACGAAGCTTCTGAGCCCATGTTACCGTCTCAAGGAGATCAATTGACTGATCGATTTTTGTTTAACGGCATATCAACCGCTTAGGGGTCATTTATTGCAGAAATTTAATTTTCTAGTGAGGCTTGAGGTAAGAAAAATATGACATATGTTATTCAGCTTTCACAATTGAATACATGGTAGATGAAGAAGCACGGTGGAGTAATGGATAGCGGCTTGGATTGAGGAATCGGAGAGCCGAGTTCGAATTCCAGTCGAATCCATTACATTCACTTACGTGCTAATACACTTGGGATAGGTGTGAATCCTCCTCAGCTATTGGTAAATAGCAGGACAGATTGGGTTCTATAGCCTTGGATGGCAACTAGGAGAAGGACAACTCTGAATTCAAAAAATATATATATATTTAAGATAATATTATATTCAGATATATATTCTCATATTTATATAAAATATATACACATTTGAGGAGGCACGGTGGCGTAATGTATAGCGCCTTGGATTGAGGAATCGGAGAGCCGAGTTCGAATTCCAGTCGAATTCATTACATTCACTTACGTGCTAATACCCTTGTGAATCATCTTCTCCCACCAGCTATGGGTAAAATAGCAGGACAGACTGGGTTCTATAGCCTTGGATGGCAACTGGTCTAAGAGAAGGAAAACTCTGAATTCAAAACCTGCGGAGGTCTGTTTGGGGATCTTGTGGCACTTATTGCACCAGGTCTCTGTAATCGGCCCTTCAAAAAGTGTGAATGGTCCTGCACGAAACCTTCACCACTATAATTAAATCTCATGTGCTATACGGGTTGGGGACCGCTTGTGAATTCCAAATTCCCATGAAACTCCAATATTGGATCCGGCTCAACCCACCTCGTGTGAATACAGGTACAGGTAGGTAGATGATACCCAGCTTTTGTGCATATACATGATTGTGTGGACATAATTACTACGGTGATATGTGCGGTTTAAGTTGTAAGTTTTTTGAGATTATATTTTAGTATGTAGTTTGTTTTTCTCAAGAAATTATAGGATATTATATGGACTAATACCACACAAGATTTCTTTCGTGATGGTTATTTAGTTGGTTGATTTTATTTGGTGGTATATCAACAACTCCATGGGTTATTTTATGCTTAAATCTTAACATTTTGTACATAGTTTTATGCTTTTAACTAGAGGTATTTTGTACAGAGTTTTATACTTTCAGAGTAAAGGCAAGTTTTTAGATATATATTTTGTACACCATAAAATTTGTTGTTGGTAATTTTACTATAAAAATGTATTTTTATATTTTTTTAGTGTTGCATTGACTTGTCTTTTTGCTATAAAAATGTATATGAAAATGTAGTGCTGATTTTTGTTTGGGTGTTCACTATTTGCCTATAGCTTGGGCCCGAACAGGTGCTACCACCTAGAATCAGGGTGGACCTGGGAACGACAGAAATTAAGAGGTCGTTTCACGCTCCTCAAAACCTCAAATCTCCCGATCAGAGGTATGTAGTTTATTGTCATACCCAGGACGACTCACGGTGATCAACAGAAGACGTGGGATGACTGTCGGAATCATAGGATGCCTCTGGAGATCACCATGGCAGCATCGCTCCTTAACCTGAGTTACGAGTCTACAAAGCATCCGTGCTACTATACTGCACCGTACGTGGCCTCTCTACAAGACCGTTCCCTTCCGCGCCCGAGGCTTCAAGTCCTGTGCTCTCTAGACTATCTAGGTGGTGCATTGTTCCGATTTTGTGTCCAAATGTCCAACTGAAGATCGGCTAGACAAGCATCTTCCGCACCATTGTTCAATAGTGTTCCCTAGCTTGGTCAGGTCGTGCATCAACCTGATGACTACCTGTTGTGGTAGGATCCACCTAATTTGCATAGTGGAGTACCGACCATATAAATATGGTTGGTACCGGGAAGAGAGGGAGGAATCAAGAGATTCAACCAGAGACTCTGCCCGACTGCGACTCAGTCAACACATTCTCCAGGAACGGTCTTACCAGGAATATACAAAATACTATATGTAAATATTGTGTACACTTTCTTGTTTTAATACATTTTGTTCTAAGTACATTTTGTGTTGCATTATTATTCCATGCATTAGTCAAGTTTCAACACTACCCCAACCAGAGTCATTTACGTATTTACCTAGAGACTGGCGACGACCTTGAGGCTGACCACGCAGCCACTAGAAGGACGTTATTCTCCAGTGGCTCCAGCAGATCAATCTGTCGCTGGAGGATGTTTGGGCGCTTTAATAAGACCGTGAGAATAAAATAGACAAGGTGGCTCTCGTGGGCTCCAGGCTTTTAAGCAGCTTATACGAAATATATGAACATTTCCATTAATTACTCATTTTTACATTGACATTATGAGACACAAATTTTTATTCTGAAGAAAAAATCGCAAATTTAGTAAGAATTACAGATTAACACCTGGTTATTTCAAGCCCCAAAGAAATTTAACCATTTTTTTTAGTTTGGAATTGTTCGGGTTTGTTCCTTAATTTAATTTCCGGTCCAAGTGACATTTTTGTATTTCTCATGATCCCTCTCACCAATATTTAGACGCCATGTTGTTTCTGTGTCGTTCTGATTGAGTCGGCAACTTTCAAAGTCCAATAAAATAAAAATAAAACCAAAGCCTTTTCAATTAGCGACCCTCGTGACCCTGCATTTCCGACAACGTCATATATTCAGGTGACGAAATTTCATAGCCCG